GGTGTTACAAATTTAGGGAGAAAAGCAATTACAAATTAATTTTATAAAGAAAATCAATTTCAAATGTATCAACAAAAATGCCTATTCCCTACATAAAATAAAAGGGACCTGACATGTGCACATATCTCTTGGCTTTATGCTTTGATGCCAAGTACATTATTGTCATTTAAGCATATAAACACATATAATTTTTGTCACTGCCACCAGCAGAATAATCTTGCTACTTTTGTCACAGTCTCCAGACACCTAAAAGCAAGATTTTCCTTGTACTATTTCCCATTTATTGGAGGAGAGAGCGCAGTGCAACACATACCATATTCTATAAACCAAAAAAGGTGGGGATGGGGAGTGGGGTGGGGAAGTACAGTTGGCTCTCTTTATCCCCCAATTCAAGCATCCATAGACTGAAAATATTAAAAATATATACGTATACATTCCAAAAAGCAAACCTTGATTTTGTCATATATAAGGAACATAATTTTATTATCCATTGTATATAGTGTGACTTGAGCATCCATGTATTTTGGTATCCACGGAGGGTTCTGTAACCAAGTCTCAGTAGATACCAAGGGCCCACTTTATTAGGAAAAGCTAGTCACATTCCACAGAAATGCTGTCCTTCCCCCTTGCTCCACTCCAGTCATCACTATTGTGGTGGCATGTGATGACACTCAGCTCTACTTCTCCTTGTTGTCAAAGTCAGATGGGTCTGTGCAGGTGTTGAGCCAGTTTCTGAACTGTGTAAGGGTCAGGATGAGGACCAATGAACTGAAGCTGAATCCTAATAAGAAATAAGCTCTGTGTTTGGGAACTAGGTAATAAACCTGTTCTGTATGTGGTTGCTTTCAGCCTTCAGAAACAGGTGCATAGCTTGGGAGCGAGCCAGCAAGGCATAATGGTTTGAGTGTTGGACTACAACTCTAGAGATCAGGGTTTGATTCCTGGCTCAGCCATGAAACCCACTGGGTGACCTTGGGCAAATTACATGCTCTCAGCCTCAGGGGAAGGCAATGACAAAACTCCTATGAATAAATCTTGCCACGAAAACCCCATGATAGGGTTGCCATAACCTGGAAACCACTTGAAGGCACACAGCATACACACACACACACACAGAGAGCTTGGGAGCACTTCCAAATCCATCTCTGGCTCTGGAGACATTGTAACATCCCATGGGTTCAAATGTTTGGGCCTTGCTTTGGCCTGCCAGCTAAAGCCTTTCCTGGACAGGGATAACCTAGTAATAGTTGTCCATCCACTGTTAACTTACAGACTACTGTAATTCTCTCTATGTGGAGCTGCCCTTGAAAATGATTCAGAAACTACAGCCTAATGCAAAATGCAGCAGCTAGATTGCTGACTGGAACATTGCATGGAAATCATATGTCAGAGGTCTTAAAGGAGCTGTACTTGCTGCCAATATGCTTCCAGTCTGAATTCAAGTTGCTGGTGATGACATCAAAAGACTTAAAGTGCTTGAGGATCCAATGCCTTTTGCTATACATACCTGCCTGAAGACTGACATCTGCAAGAGGGGCAGACATCATTTTCCAGTTCTCTTATCTGCAATGCCTTGGAAAGCCTTCAGCGAAGGCACAGACTGAAAAGGTGGAGTTTTAGGTGGTAGCATTATCAGACATAACTATGGTGATGGAATTCTGCCATCATAGTGATATCTCACAATGCAGAGTCTCAGCCATTGTTTTTAATTAAGCTGTTGTGGCCTACTTGGTTTTATTCAAATCTTGCATGTGTTAAAGTTTTTTAATTGTTTTAAACTGTTTTAACAGTGACAAATTGTGTCCAATGTGTCAAATTGTTTAATACACTTTTAGTCATATCTCAGTCCTGTTTGGCTAACACAAGCACAATTTTTTTTTCACAATCCCTGACATGCACACACACACAATCCCCTTCTCGTCCTCTGTGCCCCACACAGGGACACAGAAACACACAATTCCCAACTTCTTTCTCATACACCTACCCACATGTATACACAGATGCATAAACGCCCACAACCCCAAACTTTACTCATTTCGCTCACATGTACAGTTATTTATACAAACTGCCGCACAATCCCAAACAATTGTAGATATACACAAGTGCACAGTTCCAAACAATTACTCTTCCTCTCCTTCTTATGGTTATCCTGGAAGTGTCAGAAGAGAGCAGAGGAAAGGGAAGAGGATAACTATAACCATCCATAACTACCAAATTTGCTCAGGAGAGCATGCAGTTCTCCCCATTACCATCAAATTTGCTCATAGCTTGATTTATTCCAAGCAAATTTCTATGTTGGGTCTCCACTTAGGAGTCCAAAACTGTGCACTATCCCTCCCCCAAATAATTCTTGAACCTCCAAACCTTCTGAGTTAGTAAGATTAACTAGAGGGTTGTTGTGTTGTTGTAGGGAGGGGGAATGGAGTCTCATAGAAAGCTGTGTAGTGCTTGGTGGCCTTAGGAGCTAGAAAGGCAAAGGGAGTTGTGGTTTTTTTTTTCCTGGTAAGATTTTAATCTGCCCAGGTAAGAACTCAGAGGGAGATCATGATACTTCCCTCACATTTGTAGTGAATACTACAATGGACAGTCTGTGCATTTGGAGCCAAGCAATGACAAAGTTTGGCAAGCTGATACTACCATCTCCACAACACAACCAAAGCCAGGTAAATGAGTGGAAGAGGGTAGGAGGGAGGAGAACCTCTTGATCTCTCAGCTGTCCTCTGGCTCAGATGTCAATAAAGGCATGTCGTCTAAGCATGCCAAATCTGTATTCCCAAGCCAGGGAATTCCCTGTAGTCTGATCTGGCAATTCCTTATATTCTCAAACCAGGGAACTGGCTTGGCAGCTTTCCCAGATACCCGAAATGTTGCTATGGCCAAAGAGGAAAGGGCAGGGAGGAAGAGGAGGAGGAGAGGAGGAGAAGGAGGAAGAAACTCAGGGAGGGAAGGAAGACTTCCTTCATTTGTATTTTCACAACCAAATCTATGGAGAGTCAGTGTGGCGTAGTGGTTTGAGTGCTGGACTGCGATTCTGGAGACCAGAATTCAATTCCCAGCTCGGTCATGAAACCCAGTGGGTGACCTTGGGCAACTCACATGCACCCAGCCTCAGGGGAAGACAATGGCAAACTTCCTTTGAACAAATGCTAAGAAAACCTTATGATAGGTTCGCCTATGGGTCACCATGAATACAAAATGCCTTGAAAGCACACAACACACAAAAGAGGGGAGGGAGATGAGTGTATGCGGGAGAGGAAAGGGAGTTGAAATGCTCCCTTGTTCCTTGACATCACTGTTGCTTCATGCAACATGCTACATACATGTGGGGAGGAGGAGGATGTGAATGGGGAAACAGATCTTCTCTGCCCTAGATTGTAGCCTGCAAAGAAAGAAAACTATGGGAGAAACAGACTCAGGTATAATGGAGGCCTGGACTGAAAGGACAATTTACCAATCATTATTGGATTAGAGTCTGAAAGGAAGAGTACCCTGCATTACGTTTGTGTAAAATTACTCCTCTCTTTCTGTGCTATATAACTATTAGGCATTCTTGATCAAAATGACCCCGGGGAAAAAAAATCACTCTCTACCAGCTGATGTATACTCTCAGCTCTTCGTGAAGATCCTCTGCTTTGAGTCTTGAAACTTGAACTTTCCTCACTTCTTCTCATAAATGTTTCTCTCCTGATCAATACTGGGATTTTTCCTTCTTAAAGAGCAGCTCTTTTCAAATCCTGTCAATCAATTCATACTACATCTTGCTTCTGTAAGGGAAGATTTTATTTTTCCTAGTGGCTGCCAGGCTTCTTCCTTTCCCTGTTAAATCTCAACTGGGTTTTCCACTTTCCCTAATTGCCAAGGATTTGCTGACTCTTGTTTCTAGTGTGTCTGGGATAAACTCAAGCCAAATTATTTTGTCTAAATTTTCTATTTAGAAATGTTCGCTAAGTAAGCTGTATCTGTGCACACTTCCCCCCCCCCCCATAGCTGGCTCCCCATGTTCTTTGTCACAAATCCAAAGAACCCCTTCAGATGCTAAATCTTCACAACATAGAGTACCATCCTGTGATCATCCTGTTGTAATTCCTCTACTGCCTGTCTCTTCCATGGTTTTCCCATTTGATCTCTTCACCCATAAGATTTGTTTGCCTACAACATTGCATTAATATCTCCACCTGCTCACATCCATCCACAACAGACTAAGGGCTTATGGTCTGTTCTAAAAAGATATTGGATGTGGTCACATACTCATGAGAGTGCCAATACCTTTTGTTTCATACTAGATGCAATAATTTATACTACTGACAGGCAAAAGCAGCTGGGGAAGATGACTATCATCTTGATACTATTTTGTACCACTCCTAGGCTGGCATCCTAATAGTGGCATATACATGTGCAAGTTTCCCTTACACCTGCATATGTCCTTGGTGTTCTCCTCTGAAGTGCTCAAAGCCCTACCTGGACATTTGCTGTACAGTCTCTGAAGCTTCCCTTCCCACCTCTTGGCTGTTCTGTGCCTTGTGGAAAACAGGCAGGATTGGTGAAGCATCTTGTTTTAGGAACATAGCCAAATGCTTTTCCAATCTTGCCTGGTCTCCACAGGCACAGAATAGTTGTGGGTGGGGGCTTCAGAAACTTTATGGTAAGTCTGATTTGGTGGTATACAGCTCAGCCTAGTATAGTTCTATTCTGTGCCTTGTGGAGACTAGGCAGGATTGGAAAAGCATTTGGCTATGTCCTTATAATCAGACGCTTCACCAATCCTGCCTGTCTATATGTGGAACTACTATACTATCTTGAGTCACACAGGATTGCAGCCCAAGTATGTACATTTTTAGGTATGTACCAATTATTTACAGTTCCTTTGTTGGATCTGAACAGGAACTTGTGCTGTGGTCACAGCTTTTTTCATTTTCTGAATGACTTGTCCGAGATGTGATTTTTACATTGTTCATTGACCAGGTTTGTATGATCTGACAGATAAGGCAAGATGTGTCCAAGGACACTATCATTTCAGGAACAAGTGGATTTCTACTATTGATTTTGGAGTTGGACATTTAGCAATTGCTTTCCTTTCCCAGGGTTTGGGTATCAATAAACCTTTTATCAATAAACTGTCATTGAAAGTGCATACTTCTCCATACTGTGACATTTGCCTCCATGACCAGCTTTAATCAAATGTCATGCTATTGCATGGTGAACCCTGTGATTCTTCATATTGTTCTTATGGTAATAGACCCATTAGATACCCTGAAACAGATGGCTCTTTCAACATTTTTATTTAGTTGGGCCTAATCAGTAGAGATGCATACTACTCCATTTGATTTACAAATGAACGTGAGTGGTCATTTATAGGCTAATCAGGTGGTTTAGTGACCTTAATTCAATTGTTTCCTTTTCTTGGCTTTATCAATGTGTGAAAGACCCACTCATCTTGGAAAACAAATGAGAAAGGTTTTAGGTTGTGTTTTAAATTTACAGGTACAGTGGTACCTCTACTTACGAATGCTTCTACTA